AGATTTCTCATGGTATGCAATATTTTGCAGATGAAAGAAGGAAATTCTAGAAACCTCTTTGATAAAGCTTCTCTGAATTTTCGTTTTTCAATTGTAGGAAAAAGAGAAGCTGTATGAAGAACTGAAGCAGATTCTGGCCCGGCAACCTGGTCCTGAGGCAGCGGAACAGCTTCAGCGATGCCGCTGGACCATCAGAGAGCGAACCAAAAAGCTACAGGTGTTCCTCCCTGCTCCTATAAAACCAACTCAGTGACATTTATTGATGTTTTCCTCATTTATTGTTTCCTTTGTGTTTGCTAAATTGTTATTATGACCCGTCTGGATCTGCATCTGTTTTAGTGGATGCTTTGTGTCCAATGTCTGCAGGCAGTGATGGGAAATGTGAAAATGCTCGACTCAAAGTTGGACGAGTATAAAAGTGAGAATGAGAGGCTGAGCAGTGAGCTGGCCAATGTAAAGAAGAAGTACCTCAGTCAGAAAAGGCTCCATAGGTGAGAACCTGTCAGACCATCCTGAAAGTTGAACTCTGTGATGTCTGATCTGATGACCCAGTGTGTGTCCACAGTGAGCAGAGGAGCAGAACCACAGTGGAGGAACAGGAAGCTCTGCCACAGCTGAGCAGCACACCTCACATCATCGGAGGAGGTTTCAGGATCTACAGTCCAGTCAGACCCTGATGGCCATCAGACCTGCTTTAGATCATCTTTCAACAAAACTGATTATGAGACATCAGGGTTCCGTTTCATGAAGCAGGTTTAACAAACACAGACTCAGATCCTCAACTCTAAATTGATCTGGCCTAAAGTCAGGAACTCTGAGTTTTCAGTTTCACAACGGCTGCTATGAATTAGTTCAATCAACTCTAAGTAAAACCACTCAGAGTTGAGCACGTGCGTAACAAGTATGAAAAGCCATTATGACCATGGTCACCATGATGACAGAAGTGCCCATTTCACCCCACTGGAACTAGAGATTTTAATGAAGAAATTAAAAAATAAATGAA